TGGGAGAAAACTAATCAATGTGCTTCCCTCACATCAAGGTTTCTCACTCTCTCTCCCTCTCCCTCCCTTTCACTCTCTCTAAAAATCAATACGAAAAATATTCTTGGGTGAGGATTAACAACAACAACAAAAAAACCCCACAAAAAATAAAAAGCGCCCTGGCCAGTTTGGCTCAGCAGTTAGAGCATCAGCCTGCGGTCCAGAGAGACCTGGGTTCAGTTCCCGCTAAGGGCGCGTACCTCAGTTGCAGTTTGTCCCCGGCCCTGGTTGGTCATGCGGGTGGCAGCCACTCGATGTGTCCCTTTCACGTTGATGTTTCTCTCTCTCTCTCTCTTCCTCTCTCTCCCTCCCACTCTATCTGAACAAAAAATGGAAAAATGTCCTCGGGTGAGGATTAAAAAAAATAAAATAAAATAAAAACCATTTAACCATCATAATTTTAAGAATCAAAAAGTCACAATCTATATGTAAATCTTACAAAGATTTGTAAGATTTGAAGAGCAGTTAGTTCATAAAGGTTAACATATTTGGGCACATACTATATTTATATATGCTTTCAAATCATCCCCAATTTATGAATATCTGGCACAGCAAATGTCCTTTGCTATACTGCATAGAGAGGAAGAAAATAAGGTTATCTTCCTAGATAGCTTGGGGAAGATGTTTCAGGTGCCACTGCATTTCTTTTGCACCACAGAAAACAATTACCTAAGAAAAATCCACTTTAAGTGATGAATTTTGCAAAATTAAGTCTGGATATAAGTGTGCACTATTACCATTTGTAACATAATTTATATAGTGAAAACCACTGAAAGTTCATAAAGCTGATTTAAAAATTAAGTATTGAGATTAATCTGTATAAGCTTGTTCATACTCTCCTTTTTCCCAGTGTCATCTGGATTTTGTTGTTTTTTTTTTATCCTCACCTGAGGACATTTTTCCATATTTTGTTCAGACAGAGTGGGAGGGAGAGAGAGGAAGAGAGAGAAAGAGAGAAACATCGACATGAAAGGGACACATCGAGTGGTTGCCACCCACACGACCCAACCAGGGCCGGGAACAAACTGCAACTGAGGTACGTGCCCTTAGCGGGAACCAAACCCGGGTCTCTCCAGACCGCAGGCCGACACTCTAACCGCTGGATTTTATTGTAAATACACTGAACACTGGATTTTAAAGAAGTGATCCAATGTACATTTTGAACAGATCAACCTGGGTATCGTGGTGGGGGAGAAATGGAGAGTGCCAAGAGACAAATGGTATGCCAACCAGGAGGATTTTGCAATAGTACAAGCAAGAGATGGTAGTGGACTGGACTGGGATAGTGGCAATAGAGAAAGAAATAGAGGGAATAAGAAATAGGACTTGGTGTTATTAGATGTGGTTGTTAGAAAAAGAGAGAAGTATTAAGAAGGGACCCACTAAATTGTTGGCTTGGGTATCTGGATGAGTGGAGTTAACCATTTACTGAGAGGAGGAAAATAAGAGAATGAATAGCTTTTTATTTTGAGGGAGTGGGCTGGGTTGAGGAAAGATTATGATTTTTATTTTGGACACACACAAGGATATATGAAGCAGGTGACTGGTTGACGTAGGTATATATATGTCTGGAGTGGTTAGGCCCAGAGATATAAATTTGGAAGATATTGGCACTAGAATGAATGCCAAGTAAGAAGGGATTTGGGAGATTTTGTTTCTTTTGTTATTGTTTTTAATTCCATGACTAAAAGAGTACCTGGAACTGTATTTGTTAATAAATATCTGTTGAATGAACAAAAACGGGAATAAATATGGTACTTAAAGTTATAGGAGGGTAGAAGATTATCTAGAGAGGGATTTTAGAACTCTTAAAGGTTTTAAAAAGTATGCGAGCATGCGTGCATGTGTGTGTGTGTGTGTGTGTGTGTGTGTAGAGGTGGTGTAGGGAGGTAAGTGTGGAGGAGGAGGGAGAGAGGAGAAAGGGAGAGTTTCAGTAAAGGAAATTGAGGAATAATGGCAGTGTAATAGAAGGAAAACCAGGAAGCTATTATATCGAAAATGCCAATATAAAAGAGTGTTTCAAGGAAAGAATGCTTACATGTGTCAAATGCTATTGAGGTTATACAAGCTGAGGGGAAAGAAGTGATAACAATGTCACTAATGGTTGTAACAAGGGCTAGGGCATGTACTCCACTCTAACACGAGAGAAGGTGGTGTGTGTACAGATGTGTAGGTAGGTTGATAGATTTTGTGGTGGGAATGAGGAAGTTCCCGATACCCTCTTTTTTTCTTGAGGAATTATGAAACAAGTATTAGACGAGAATGAATATTCAATAAATGTTATGATTGGAGTAAATAAAGTGTTATAGGAGCCCAAAGCAGGGGCAACTAACTCAGCACTGAGGTGGAATGCAGGGGAGATTTAAAAGATGAACAAGAATTAATAAGGAGAGGGTAGATGGAAGGAGTAGGAAGAGTACCCCAAACATATGCAAATACCTCAGAGGCAAAGGAGAAAGGACAAGTTCAAGAAATTAAAAGGCAGAACCTAAGAGGTCCAGGTGGGACTGGCAAGAGATGAGGCTGGAGAGAGAAGCAAGTATCAAAATCAAGAAAAACCTGTATGCAATGCTAAGGATACTGAAATCTGTCATGAAGATAATCAGAAGTAGCTACTGAAAAGGGTAAAATGTAAGTATGCTTTATTTTGGCAGTCTTCACATCAGTTGGGAGAAAATATTTGTGAATTTAAATATATTTAATATAAGATTAGGTCATTTTTATATTTAATACTTAAAACTGGAGAGGCAGTATAGCTTAATGGTTAAGAGTACAAATTCCAGAGCCACAGCACCTGTGTTCAAATACCACTTAGCAGTTGTGTGACCTTGGGCAAGTTATTTAACCTATTTCAGTTTCCTTGTTTTTTGCTTTTTTGTCCTTCCTTTTTTCCCCTATTGCCCCTCTCCACCTGGTTCCTGCCCTACCCAAGGATGTCACCACCCTATTATCTGCGTCTATGGGCAATGTATGTATATTCTTTCTCTCTTCCTGCCCTCCCCCTCCACTTCCCTCTGAGATTCGTCAGTCTGTTGCATGTTTCCATGTCTCTGGTTCTATTTTATTCATCAGTTTATTTTGTTCATTAGATTCCAACATATAAGTGAGATCATGTGATATTTGTCTTTCTCTGGCTTATTTTGCTTAGCATAATAATCTCCAGGTCCCTCCCTACTATCTCAAAGAGGATTAGAGCCTTCTTCTTCTTTTTTTTTTTTTACAGCTGCATAGTATTCCAGAGTGTAAATGTAAATCTACCACAGCTTTTTTTATCCACTCATCTGATGTACATTTGGGCTGTTTCCAGATCTTAGTTATTGTAAATAATGCTTCTATGAACATAGGGGTGCATATATTCTTTCTGGTTGGTGTTTTGAGATTCTTAGGATATATTCACAGTGGTGGGATCATTGGGTCAAGTGGCAGTCCCACTTTTAATTTTGTGAGAAAACTTCACAGTTTTCCATAGTGGCTGCACCAGTCTGCATTCTTACCAAAAGATGCATGAAGATTCCCTTTTCTCCACAACCTCACCAGCACTTGTTTGTTGATTTATTGATAGTAGTCATTCTGGTAGCTGTGAGGTGATACCCTATTGTCATTTTAATTTGTCATCTCTCTGATGATTAGTGACATTGAATATTTTTTTTGTATTTCTCTTGGTCATTTGTATGTTGTCTTTGGAGAAATGTCTCTTCAAGTCATTAGCCCCCCCCCTTTTTTTTAATCCTCACCCGAAGATATCCCTCCATTTATTTTCAGTTAGAGTGGAAAGGAGGGAGGGAGAGTGAGAGAGCAAGAGAAAGAGAGAAAGAAACATCAATGTGAGACAGACAAATCGGTTGACCCTGACCAGGGCCGAGACTAAATTGCAACTGAAGTACATGCCCCTGACCAGAATCGAACCCATGACTCTTTGGTCTGAGGACCAATGCTCTAACTGCTGAGCCAAACTAGCCAGGGCCCTCTGCCCATATTTTAAATGGATTGTCTTCCTTTTGTTGAGTTGTATGAATATTTTAGAAATTAATCCCTTATTAGATACATCATTAGCAAATATGTTCTCCCATATAGTGGATTCCCATTTTATTTTGATGCTGATTTCTTTTGCTGTGCAGAAGCTTTTTAATTTGATGTAGTCCCATTTGTTTATTATTTCCTTTGTTTCTCTTGCCCTAGGCAATGTATTGCTGAAAATTCTGCTACGTCAGATGTCTGATATTTTGTTGCCTACGTTTTCTTCTAGGACTTTTATCGTTTCATGACTTACATTTTGTCTTTTATCCATTTTAAGTTTATTCTTGTGTATGGTATAAGTAGGTGGTTTACTTTAATTTTTTTGCATGTACTTGTGCAATTTTCCCAACACCATTTATTGAAGAGACTGTTTATTCCACTGCGTGTTCTTGCCTCCTTTGTCAAATAGTAATTGAGCATTATGGCATAGGTCAATTTCTGGGTTCTCTGTTCTGTTTCATTGATCTATATGCCTGTTCTGTGCCAGTAGCATGCTGTTTTGATTACAATGGCTTTGCAGTATAACTTGGTATCTGGGATAGTGTGATACTCAATTTATATGGAACTAAAAAATACCCTGAAAAGCTGCAGCAATATTGAGAAAATTTCTTTATTTTTAAATGGAGGTTTTAATAGTAAAGGTGTAAATAATAGGACCTTCTCAAAGGGGTGTTAATAAATTAGTTAATATGATACTCTTTAAATGTTAGCTAGTATCATTTAAGAGATGTTAGCTAGACATTATTTTAGAGAGGAAAGGAGAGGGAGAGAGAAAGAGAAACATCCATGTAAGAACAGAACACCAATAAGCTGCCTCCTGCATGCACTCTAGTGGGGATCGAGCTCAAAACCCGGGCCATGTGCCCTGACCGGAAATTAAACCAACAACCTTTTGGTGCATGGGATGATGCCCAACCAACTGAACCACACCAGCCAGGGCTTACCTGCTTTTTAATAGCATAATTTTCACCATCTTCAGCTTTCATTTTTTCAATCTTTTCTTCTTGTTGTTTTGCTTCTTTTTCATACATCATTTTTTCTTTGGCCAATCTATAAATAAACCGAAAAAGTTTCAGAGAATTAACTCTCTCTTGCAAACGGACCACAAGAAATGAAGAAACTATGTAAATATAAAACTTACTTAAAATGCCAAAGTATTATGTATTAGATGGGGTGTAGGGTAGAAGAAAAAATTTTGCTATTGATGTATGATCCACATGCCCTTAAGTCCTACCTATACTGCCTAAAGCAAGTGCAATCTTTCAAAACATGCAATTCTTAAATTTTTAATTAAAACATATCCCATTACAATAATTGTATTTACAATGTAAAAACAACACTCAAAATTATTATGTACTAAGATTTCTATCTTGCTTTTTTAAAAAAAATATGTTTTCTGAACTTTAATACATGTACTTGAAACAACATAATGTAAAAAGTTCAGCTTACTGGATAAAAAAGTCAGTATTGTGCATGCCAAATCCAAAACAAAGAAAGATTATAGATTATTTTCAACAAAATTGTTTGACAAGTATTTACTGTACACATACATAATTTTATGCCCAACTTTCCTTGTGTGAGGAATTGGGATAGTTTAGACATGGTTCCTTCACAAACAAGTAGTGGAAACAAACAAGTATTTATTTACTAAAGCAAGAAAAAGGTATTGATAGAGATCAGGAAGATTTTCAATGATACAAAGCAACATAAAGTTCTACTGATTATTCCTCAGATAACTAAAATTCAATTAACCATAACAGCTCAAGCTCCCCTAATTCCAGTTAAATTAATTTTAATATAAAAGAAAAATAGAGCACTGGCTAGTGTGGCTCAGTCACAACTTAAAAATTTGTTACTAAAATACTTTTTCTGTAACAAGTTCTATAAATATAGAACTATATAAAAATTATAAAGAAAATCTTAAAATTCATTCAAAATCTCATTGCTAAAATTACTACTGATCCAAAATGCACATAACTCTGAAATCTAAAACAGTGTAAAAATTTTTTAAATTAAGCTGGCACAAACTCATTTAGCATCAAAATGTGACCTCAAATGACACAAAATTACCAGCTTTATGTATCCTACTTAAATAAATTGAATAGTACATGTTTCACTGCAGAAATATTAATGTGTTTGATTACAGAGTACTTCTTTAGATGCTATTATGAAAATGCATATATTACTGTTTCAAAACCTAAAAAAAAAAAGGTGGAATTCAGAAATACATATACATGGGCCCAAGGTTTTAGTAGAAGTGATTATGTACCTGTATTAACATTAAGTATTTTCCACTCATCTTTCTCTTTAAAAATGTATGTTTATAAACATAAAATATAAATATACATTTATAAATAAGTTAATAAGATAATGTATCATTTCCAATGTCACTAAATATTCTTTGAAAATATAGCTTTTTAGTGGCTACAAAGCATTTTATAGTATCAATACAACAGCTTATTAAAGTATTTATTATCCTATCAGACATTTAGGCAATCCTCATATTATAAACACTGTGAACTTCCCTAATCATAAATTTTGTGAATGCGTAAATTTTCCTATTACATAATATTTAAAATATATCATGCCTGATAAGAAACTAGACTGTCCTTTTCCAGTAAACCAGTCATCATTTACTGATGAATACTTCCTTCTCCTGCTATTATAAACCACATTTGTCTTTCATTATTATTGGTAATAGACAAAATACAAATATTAAATCAATCTATCCTATTTTACCCTACTATTTGCTATTTCATTTTAGTCAAAGAAAACAGTATGCCAGATTTCAGTTTAAATATTAATAAGCATATCAACATTTACATTAGAGTCATGAAATTAAAGAGAGAAAAATAAGGAAGATGAAACATCAAGGGAAAAGAATATAAATCTGATAAACAATAAGAGTTGTAGATAGTACAGGAGAAAAAGGAAGATCTTGTTAAAAATAAATTTCCCAGCCCTGGCCAGTGTGGCTCAATTGGTTAGAGCATCATCTGGTACACCAAAAGATGGTGGGTTCAATTCCTGGTCAGGGCACATATGCAAGTTTTGGGCTCAATTCCCCGTCAGTGTTTGAAGGAGGCAACTAATCAATTTTTCTCTCTCACATTAATGTTTCTCTCATTTTCTCTCTCTCTCTTTCTTCCTCTCTAAAAACTCAATAATAAAATATCCCAGAGCTGGGAAAACAAAAAACAAAAAAACAATCTTAATTGAAAAGTCTTCTAAATGCCTACTATAATCAGTAAAAAAAAAAAACACCCCACATCTTTGTACATTGTTGAGAATTTCCAGAGATCTAAGACAATTAAAGTTTTCAAAAAGAGAACAAGTCACCTATTAAAGGAAAACGAATCGGATTACTAACACTAGATACCAGAAGACAATAGAGCAATCCCTTGAAAGTTCTGAGAGAAAATTATTTATAACCTAGATTTATAACTAAACAGTGAGGGAAAAATTCACTAACTCACCCAGTACTTACTTATTAAATGGCCTCTATGTCCCAGGCATGATTTTATGTACCAAGGATATAGCAGTGAACAAAACTATAAAAATCTCTGTTCCATGACACTTTTTAGTGGGGAAATAAGGACAATACATAAATAAAATGTATAGCATGTGAGGTTGTAATAAAGTGCTACCAAAAAAAAAAAAGCAATGAAGAAGGACTAGTTAAAAGGGGGATTTAAAATTTAAAATAAGATGATCGGGGCAGGCCATTTTGAGAAGAAGGTATGTGAGTTGATATCTAAAAATGTCAATTAGTCATGTGAATAACTGATGAAAGAAATCATAGGCCAGGGGAGTTTTTAGTTACATAAAAATGCAAAAAGTTTATTTACTATGTCTCTTTTCTGACAAATTTATTTAAGAATGTATTCCAGTAGATGTGTCTCTCTCACATCAATGTTTCTCTCTCCCCTCTCTCCTTCCCTCCTACTCTATCTAAAGATAAATAGAAAAAAATATCCTCAAGTGAGGATTAAAAAAACAAAAAACAAAACAGAATGTATTCCAGCAACCTGAAGATGAAAATCAAGAAAAGAAACCAGCCCTGGCTGGTTCTGCTCAGCAGTTAGAGAACTGGTCTTCAGAACGAAAGGTCATGGGCTCGATTCCCAGACAAGGGCATGTGTCTGGTTTGCAGGTTCAATCCCCGGTCCCCATTGGGGTTGTGCAGGAAGCAATCAATGTGTCTCTCTCACATCAATGTCTCTCTCTCTCTCCCTCCCTTCCACTCGCTCTAAAAATCAATGAAAAGATATCCTTGGGTGAGGATTAACAAAAGAAGGAAAAAAAAAAACAACAAAACCCCATGATCAACACAATGCAACTGTCTAATGAAGGAGAAAAAAGAAATCCAAGAATTAAAACTGTGCTGTAGGCCTAGAAAACAACCAGTCTAAATAAGAATCTTAGTGAAGAGTCTTATAGGAACATCTTTAAGAAGAGGAATAGAATAGATTCTAAGAAACAGATACAATGTGTAAGAAGGTAGAAGAGAAATCATTCATGTGTTTTTTTTCTCTCAATAAAAATATGAGAGAATTAGAAACTGCAGGGAAAGTAAATCACACCCCCCTCCCCACACACACAGTTATGATTGTGATATGAAGCAACTGATGAAAAAGAAAATTCACTTAATCTGGATTTATAAAAATAATCTCCTTTGGGCAGCATAGAATCCAATGAGAAAGAAATGTAATACTATACTACATACTGTATTTAAAATGATATATAATTATAATTTATTTATTCATTTTGAACTTTTAGAATAGACCTATGAGCAAAATACATCTTCCCCCACTTGTTTGAAATATTCAATTTGTGATTTTAAAGTCTGTTTAAAGCTAAGAAATGTCTATCAAATTTTTTTCTATAAAAATTTAAGATAACTCTGGCCAATGAAACCTCAGCATTTCATAAAAATTATACCACCACCTGTGTAATCGATTTCCTGTGTTAAATCCCTCTGTTTGAAATCCCTAGTATGATTTCCCTTTTCCTAACTGATACAGTTCTCTTCTATTGACATAAATAATAACAAGTAATCTTGTCTCTGAAGAAACAAACAATATTTTTGAGATTTTTATTGTATGAGAGATGAAAGAAGAAATTTTATTGAAGACCTAATATGAACAGACTATTGTGTACTTTATTGCATTTAATATTATAATCCTATTGAAATATTATTCCTACTTTGCAGTCTCCTAATTATGCATCCCCATAATGTTTTTAAAACACAGTTTTTAAATTGAAAGAGAGTTGAATCAGGATTTATCAATATTTCAAAATGAATAAAATATGAGCTACCGTATTTCACATATTTCATGACAGTTTGGTCAAAAATGATACTACTAATGAAAATTAAGCTGAAGACAGATACCAACACTGATGAAAGAAGTCAGGTTAGATGCATGAGTTTTGATATTTTAGCATTTCCAATGGCCACCATCAAATCTGCTCTCTACAAACTAGCCTTGTGGTGAAGTTCAACCAACAGTTACAACTCAAGAAGAGATCATTATAATATTGGCATCCCATGAAATGTGATACATTGATTTAGGAAAAAACTTGAATCATTTAAGATAAACTAAAATTAAAATATAATAATCAAAGAAGTTAACATACACTGACCATTTATTATGGGCCAAATACTACATCAAAGCATACTACACGCACTGTCATTCCATCCTCAAAACAACTCTATAAATAGGTAACACTATGAGTCCCATTTTAGTAATAACTAAACTGAAATTCATGGAGCTTGTCCAAGTTTTCACATCTTAAGTGCCAAAGAACTGTTTTATTCCAAAGTTCATACTCTTAGTCACTATAATAAGTTTTTTAAATATATATATATATTTTTTGTTACAGATGTTTCTCCTTTTTTACCCCATTGGCACCCCCATCGTCATCCCCCCGGCTCCGTCCCTGGCTATGTTGTCCATGTCCATTGGTTATGCATACATGCATATAAGTTCTATGGTTTATCTCTTCCCACCCCCCCACCCCCTCTTCTGAGGGATGTCAGTCTGTGCCCT